GAGCGGCTACTGCACTCCAGTCTGGGCGACAGAGTGAGACTCCAACTCAAAAAAAAAGAAGAAAACAGGCAGTGCCAAAATCCCAAATCCACATGCAGATTCTTGTTTCATACTGAGAAACCAGTGTGACTCTCTGTAAAATAAAATTCTGCAGCATATTTTCTATACTTTCTCAGAAATAGAGTAATAATTTTACAAAGTTGCGGAGTGAGAGATAGCAAAGTATTTAAGAAAAAGCAAGAACAGGCTGGGCATGGTGGCTCAGCATGTAATACTAGCACTTTGGGAGGCCGAGATGAGAGGATTGCCTAAAAAAAAAATGCACTGCTCAGCAGTAGAAGAACAGGTTGCAGACCCCCCTGAGAAGTAGTGGAACATCCACCATGTCATCAGCCTGGGTTCATCAAGCGACACTGTGACAGTTCAACAGGCTGGAGTGGCGTGAAGTGACCCCGAATTAGGGATCAGCTCTACCTTGGCCTACTGCTCTCCTGCAGGATGGAAAGTGGGCCCAGGTGTTAATCTGCCTACCCACCCCCTCACCAACTGCCCCCAAAGCTTGACATTGTCTCAGTCTCCTTAACTTCCAGTCCTAGAGGAGGTCATCAGTGATGTCCATTGAGTAAGGCAAAAAGTGACCTAATCTCCTCTCCCTAGCCCTGAGGGCCTCAGGATCAGAGGAGGCCAGATCCACCTCCTATCAGCAATGCCCACGCCAGGGTCCCATCAGGCAATGTGTCCTCCACATTGTCTTCCCACGGGCAGGTGGCCTCATTCAGCACAGCAGGGCCACCCACCCCATGTCAGGGAGACTTTGGGGAGACTGGCACAAAGCGGGGACCCCCCAGGTGATGGTGGGGAAGTGGGCTAGGGTCTCTCTCCCTCTGTCTCCCACACACATGCACACACGTCACATTAGCAGTACCGTTCCGCACCCCAGGCAAAAGGGAATATGGTGGAAGTTCCAAGTGACACTGCCCTAAGGGGAACTCATCCTGTCCAAATTCCTTTCCTGTCTCCAAAACCAGCATCACTCCCAAAGTGGGATGGAACTCTCTACTTCCCCACACCACACACCTGTTCTAAGGTGGAAGAGATTGGACAAAACAGTGGAAAGACCAAGCACTGTCACAGATGGGACACTAAGGGGACAGGATCACTAAATGCAATGTGGGATCCCGGTTGGACCCCAGAACAGAAAAGGGACATGGGGGGGGGGGGTGCGGGGAAGGTAAAATCTGAGCAAAGCCTGTAATTTAATTAATAGTAGTGTGTCTATGTTAATTTCCTGATAACTGTGCTAAGGTAGTAAGATCTTACCATTAGGGGAAGCTGGGTGAAGGGTATATGGGAAATCTTTGTACTATATTTGTAACTCTTCTGTAAGTCTAAAATTACTTTTAAAAAAACCACTTAACATCAAGAAATTGAATAGGCCAGGCACGGTGGCTCATGCCTATAATCCCAGCACTTTGGGAGGTGGAGGCAGGAGGATTGCTGGTTTCAAGACCAGCCTGGGCAACATGGCGAGACCTCATCTCTATAAGATATGAAAAAATTAGCCAGGTGTGGTGGCGCACGCCTGTGATCCCAGTTACTTGTAAGGCTGAGGCGGAAGGATCACCTGAACCCAGCAGGTAGAGGTTGCAGTGGCCGTGAGCATGCCACTGCTCTCCAGCCTGGGCAACAGAGTAAGACTCTAACTCAAAAAAAAAAGAAATGAAGACACATTAGAAGAAAACAGGCAGCTGGGCTTGGTGGCTCAGCCTGTAATCCCGCACCTTTGGGAGGCTGAGGTGAGTGGATTGCCTGAGCCCGCGGGTTCGAGACCGGC